GTACAACTGAGATCCCACGTGACCTCCCATGTCCTGGGCAAAGTCTGACTGCAGCTACTGGGGCAGTTTCCTGCTTTGTACATTCCTGCCCCATGCCAGCAGCTTCCCCACAGGTCTGCCCATCATTCAGCATAAGCCCTGCCCCTCTGGGAGACAGCTCCAGGGGAAAAGGTCTGCTCCCTGCACAGTGCACTGGGCACCATGAGCTCCTGAGCCACTCGGAGAGAAGCCATCCCCATCTGCTGCATGGCCAAGCAGCATATTTGTGTTCTGCAATCCCGCTGGGGTGGGTCCCATGCACAGACAGCTTCCCCAGGGCTCTCAGCTGCCAAACAGCAATTCAGAGTGCATGAGAAACGGGCTGAATGATGAGCCACTGGTCCAGGCCCCAGCAGCTCCTAGTAGATTGTGGGGAGCAGCTCTAGCCTGAAGCCTGTCTGTGAACTGCAAGGACTGGCAATGGCCATATGAGGGAGACAATGGCCAGGCAGCTCTGCTACTGCTGCCCAGGCATGACCCAGAGCCTCTCCTACCAATACAGCCTCAGGTCTTAAAAGACCTGGGACTAGTGGCCAGTGGTGACAGGGAACTTCCCACTGCTGAATCACTGGTTCAGTGGGGCCAAGCTTTCTGGCAGGGGTGCCAAGAATTAGCCCTGTATCCTCCCCAAGTGCCACTCTGATCCCTTTCCTCTGCTCTGCTTTCTGTTCCCTGCCCCATCTGCTACCTGTCCTGTCCCTGATTGGCTGTGTGCCCCACACAGCGCCAGCCCGGGTGCTGCACCCTGGCCACCCTTGCACTAGTTGATGTGATCTGCAAGCGCTCTGTGCACAGGCCTAAGTCTCCACCTAGTGGCCGGTCCATAAAAGAAAAGAATCTCTTCTTGCTACTTGCAAGAGAAGCTCCTTTAGCAGCAGCAGCAGCAGCATCTGCTTGCAGCAGTGAAGGTCCCAGGTTCAGATCTCTATAGAGACAAGGGGACGAATACACCCTATCTTACCTTTGCTCAAGGGCTCCCGTGCAACAATCATGCCCAAGTCTCATTAATTAGATCTTCACTTTTGTGGCAAGTTCCCCTCTGCAATGCAACCAGCCAATCCCTTCTCCCAGGGGTAGGGAAAGAGCAGGCCAAACAAAGGTTCTGTTCTTACAGCTTTATTGAATATACAAGTTTACTTGGACACAATCCCTGCATGTGGCAAGTACAGAAGAAACATGGCTGCCTAGTGTCCACCCAGCTCTCATGGAAAAGGCACATGGGGAAGGAACCCTAAATCCTTGCTCTCCCACCCCAAAGGAAAGGAGGAGAAGTAAAAGTGATGCTCTTTTCTCAAATGACATCCTGAAGGGATTTACACCCAATCATGCCTTGAATCTATGCTTTCTTTAGTGAACCCTTTCATCTTTGTCATGGGAATGACTGTTCTGCTGAGGTCTGAGACCATGAAGGCAAAGCCTCTCCTGACCTCCTCTTCTCCCCCAAGCAAAAACCTAGAGGGGGAAGTGGCCATCTCTAGCTGGACCCCAAATTTATCTACACATATAAGATGGAGCAACATTTCTGGAGACATTTAAGGGGATCCTTCCTATACCTTCAGAAACCTCAGCCAAAGACTACAAGGCCTCCAAAGAAAATCCAAGGAATACAGCAAGCTCCAATTCAGAGTAAAAATGTCAGAAGTGCTTGCATGGCTTAAGAGCCTGAATTCCCATTTTAAAATTGGGCTCAAGCTTCTAGGGCACCCTGAAAAATGTCACCACCCATTTCAGCTGCAGGCCAGGAACTGAGAGCAACAACGGCCTGGGCAAGAAAAAAACTTCCCTGCGGAGTCTGCACCTCAAGCAGCATGGGGTCTGCTGCGAAACAAGCATGAACCAGCCCCTTAGAATACCTACACTGCTCAGGCAGAGACAAAGTAGATAGAAAAAAACTGGCAGTGATGCTGGCAGGCAGCACAGATTGCCTTCATGTTCTCAGACTAATATTCCATGACGCTGCGAGTAAAGCAGCGGCATGAGCCTGGGCCACCTGTTTTGACCTTCGCCAAAGACGTGGTGTGGTTTTGACTCCAAATGGTTTTGAAAGAAATGGGGCCCTGGCCATCACAAGTTAGGCTCCCTACAACAGCAGAATCAGTACCCACTTCTGAAAATGGTGACTTCATGGTTTACTAGATTTAGAGCCAAGTTCTCAGCTGGTGTAAACCAGCATATGTCTACTGAAGTCAAGAGGCCCTGCCATTTATACCAGCATGTGACTTCGTCAACCATGCCTTGAATCTATGCTTTAAATACAACATGTGATTAATAAAATATTGCCTTTACCCTTATCTGACTCTCTCACCCAGGCTGGTCACTAGGTTTCTTGTTCCCTCCAGCCCACCCAAGAGTTGGTATTATTCCCCCCTGCAAGTCCCAATAAACTGTCAGTTCTGATTTTTATAGCAATTAATGGTTCAATGAGACACACTACATACTCCTGTGACATCACACTGCCTAGCTGGGCTCAGATCCTAAATGGATATGGATAAAGCACCCAGGTGTCACTTGTGAATGTATTATTATGTCACAAACCAAGTGGTGCTCTCTGCTCTGAAGAGTGGAAACTACACTCTGCAAGTGTGTGTGTGTGTGTGTGTGTGTGCGTGTGTGTGTGCATGCACACGTGTGTTATAGAAATGAACCCATCTCACCTCCGCTGGTGCCAGCAGCTCATGAGCCAAAGGCCCCTGTTGTACAGTGGAGAGATCTCCATTGATCCCAAGGCCTCTGAGTCAGATCCGTTGCTGGAACCAGCTGGCAGGAATGGTGTAGTGCCGTGAGAAGCAGCAGGAGGTTGTTAGTTATGAAGAGAGGCATTGGCACTAGGAAGCAGACGGGCTGGGCTCCCTCGCAGCATCGTCAGGGCACCAGCATGGCAAGGAGGAGTCAGCGGGGCCAGGCCTGGCACCTCACTGGGCATGGGCAAGCGCACCAGCTCCTTGCCCAAAGCCAAAACCCTTAGGCCCGAAGTGCTTGGCGTAACATCCTGCAGAGGAGGAAGGAAAGTGGCCATTAGTGACGGTGGCATGAGGAAGCTCCATGCTGGGCACTGCTCTTTCCTCAGGGGAGCTCATAGGACTGAATGGACAAGAGGCGAGATGGCCGTCAGGTCAGGCACTTTCCCAGGGTTCAAATTGGGCGCTGCCTCCTCACAGGCAGGAGCCAGGCAGTGGTGCCCTGCCACCCAGCTGGGAGATGCTGACCCCTTCAGAAGCGTTAGGGTTTTTTGCAGGTTCCCATTGATGTGCCCATTCCACTGCGTAATTTGAGGTCACCAGCCTCCCTAAACACAACCACCCTCTAAAATATAGAGCCACAGCCAGATAGGCTTGTAGCAGTAGGTCTGGGTATGAGGGAGGACCAGGCACACCCGACCCACTCCTAGCCTGCCCATGCCTGCTAACATACTCCAAGTCTGGAAGTTCATCAGCAAGACTGCTCCAGCCTTGTCCCCTGCAGGTGCCCTCAGGACACCAGAGACTCAGAAGCAGGCATGGAAGATGAGCCCAGAGTAGCCTTGCTAGGGGACTCCCAGGTTCAGAGTATGCCAATAGGAACAGGTACCAGAGTCTGCTGCTACAGTGCAGATGAGCCCTCGCAGGGCAGCAGGGTGCACAGAAAGACCCACTGGCATATAAGCCATGTGGCAAGCACGTAGGCTAGGGCTGGGGCCAGGGCCAAGGCCATGCAGGCATTTGGGCACTTGCTATTCCTACAACCGCAGTTCCCCATTTGGGACATCAGTTAATTCCATTCAGAGAGGCGCACCCAGCCATAACCCTGGCCTGCCCCTGCCCTCACGCCCAAAGGTTTCTGTGCTTTAGCCTTGGTTTGGCCAGTGCCCTGGGAAGGGGGCGCTCACTCACCTTTGCAGTAGATTTCTCCATCTTTGTCAGCCAAGGTGGTGGATTCCAGGCCTTTCCCACACTTGGCACATCGGAAACAAGCCTTGTGCCAGGACTGAAGGGAGAGAAGCAGAAGTCAGTGGGGAGGAGGCAGGAAGCATTTATGTGGCTCATTTGTGGGATCCAGCCACAGGATCAGTCGGTCAGACCAATGTTAAGTCATGGTTTGATCTGAACTACAGGGAAAAAATGGATTTCTGAGGACTGAAAACCCTATTGCAACCAGATCCTCCCCCAGTATAGCTGTCTCTACAGCAGTGATTCTCACCCAGAATGCCAGGACAGCCTGGGGTGCTGCCGGATCCTTTGAAGGGTGCCACAAAGTGTGAGGAGATAAACGAGGCATAAGGAGATAAGCAGGTAAGCCAAGTAGACAAATGCAGGCCTGACTGAATGATCCCCCACCGCTGCTGCCCAGCCCCTCCGCCGGGGGTAAGCACTGCAATTTATAAATTAGCTTTTGAAATTTGGTGCCACGCAATTCACAAGAGTTACGCACGGGGCTTTGAGTCCGGTGGGGATGCTTCAAGTTCGTTCCACTGAACGGTGCCTTGAGGCCAAAAAGGTTGAGAATTGCTGCTCTAGAGTAACAGTTTTGACAGCTTCTGGCAGGGACCATCACAGCGTACCTCCTATCATTTTTTCCATTTTAGTTTGCAAAAGAACCACCGCCAGGCAATCTCTAGCAACTATCCCTCCTTGTAAAAAGTCCACCCACAAGTCCCAGGTCTTAGCCCGAACTTCTTTGGGAAGCATCGTCACGAAGGAAGGACTGCCTCTCCCAGCCTGTACACATCTATTTGGTCCCAGGCACCAACTAAATGGCTCTCATTGATGGGTTGCCCACAGGAGGGAGTGAACGCAAGAGCTCTAGCTCCCCCGCACAAAGTGGAGACAGCCCCACTTCACTACACAAGCTATCCCTGTGGCTGGTCACACCAGCTCAAATACAACCCCCAATACCACGATGAAGATGAAGACAAGAAACTAACTGGCTCATCAGACAGGGCTACTGCTTCAGAAGAGTGGAGTTCCAGCTTTGACTCCCACCAGTCTGGGAGAAAACACAACGGAAAAAAAACCCCAAGACAAGTCAGCAGAGCTGTGGTGACTGGCTCCAGCTGAGGCCCTTGCCCACGGCTCCATGTTGTAGAGGCATGCATCCAGCTTGAATTAGGGAGGTTGCATCCAGATGTTGATAGAACAGGCCAACGTTTTATTTTTAAACTCCCCCAGCGGCTCCACTGGTGGATAAATGGATAAATCAGTGGATAATTTAACTCAGTGGATAAATCAGCTTGTGTCCTCTGAACAGACAGCTTAATAGTGGGAGCTGCTGATACAGGAGGTTTTTAAAACCTTTTTTGGAAGAAAGTGTGGACTAGCAATTATGGCAGGACTCGATGACAGACTGAATAAATCCCGCCAGCCAAAAAACATCAGCACATTTACGTAGTCCCCCTGGGATCCCCTCTGGGTTTGCTCAGACACAGCAATGCTACTAGCTTTAGCTCTTCAAAGATGCAGAGAATAAAGCTAACCACCAAACACAGTGCCTGCAGTATGACCCTTAGTGTTTCCTCACTGCCAGCCAATCCTGTGCTCTTACCTGGACATCCCCCAATATCTCAGTGTGTATAGCCATCTCACCCGAGCGTGGTGGTGCATTGCACCCAGGTCAGCTGGTTTGGCTGGAGCTATAGGCAAGAGTACTACATTCACTTGGGCTGGTAAGCTGCCCAAGTTGCCGTGAAGACAGTGTACCTCCCTCGAGTGCTGGAAGCTCTCCAAAGCCTTCCCACCATTCCCCAATCTGCCCTGAAGGACAGACAGGCTCTCCCAGAATCCAAGAGCAGCTCAGCTTCCTGCAGCACTGAAGCCCAAAGGAAACGCCCCTGGTAGGGCAGCGCACCTGGGGAGTGCAGTGCCCGTGACGGCACAGTAACATGGACAGAGGCTGCTCGCACCAGGGCAAGGCTGACTCAGGAGCCAAATACCTGTTCTACCTGTGCAAAGGCATACCTTTGTACTGAGAGAAGCCCAGGGCAGGGAAAGGGGCTTTCAGTGAGCCTACAGACTGAAGCTAGGCTCATGGATCTGGACTCATGCCTGGGATAGGAGGGGGACTGCAGAGCATGGCCAGGGTTGTGAACAGGAATTCCAGGACTGCAACAACAGGGGGCTGGGAGTAGGGCTTGAGGGGCATCGTTAAAGCTGTGAAGAGAACTCAAAAACCTGCAGCTTGGGACTAAGAGAGGTTAGCCAAATTGTGTGCAAGGCACCCAGGGCCGGGAAATGGGGTCTGCAGGTCAGGGCTGAGAGGCATTGGCAGAATGAAGTAGGGGAGCCCACCGCTGGGACAGCAAGGTACTCCAGCTCAGGGCTCTGGCAGTCGCACGGGAGTTTAGGACTGAAGCAGCGGAGGCAGCAGAAGTCCAGTGGCAGAGCTGTGTGAGTACGTCGCAAAGGCAAGACCTGCAGAGCCCTTAGGATCACCTTATCCCTGACTTGCAGGACATCTTCTCAAGCTCTGAATGTCAAGCCCTTGCAAGGATGAGCATGCTCCAGAGTGCACTGGCGGTTGGTATCCAATTCGCAATGAAGGCCTAAGGCTGGGGGCAGTGTGGGCACTGCTGGGATGGGTCAGGTAACTCCAGTGTGCAGCTCCTCGCAGTGTCCCAGTGCAGGTGTTAAGAACACGGGAACAGAAACAAAGCCACAGTTTATCACTCCACAGGCCCACCTAGTGCAGTGCTCTGCGAGCATTTCAGTGGCAGAGCGCTCGTTTTTCTCCCCCTCGTTCCGTCCCTGGAAGCAGGCAGCCTACAGGGCACTCCTCCCCACAGCGCGCTCTCTCTCCGTGACTCAGAAGAGGGTGCCAGATACGAGACACCCGGAGGTACCAGGGATGCTGCGAGGTGCCTGCAGCCCTAGCGTATGATATGCAGGGTCCTAGTCAAGGCAGCACCTGATGGACTCTTGCATCGTTCCGCATCATCCTAACGTAGCTACTCCATGACATCTGTGCTGACTGTAGAGCTTTCAACACAGCGGCTCTTGCTGTGCTCTTTTCATTGAGCTGGTGACAGGCATTTTCAGCTCTGGAGAGAGCTGAGCTCTGCCTGGGACAGTGGACAGGAAGGAAAGGGAGGGCCTGATGCCCACAAGGAGACCTGCTCTATTACATCCCATCAGCATCTGTTAGGACCCTCCACAGCTGGCATGTGTGGCAGCCTTTGTCCCCTGCACTCCCTTCATCTACAAGACTTCACTGCTCTGCTGAGTACAGGGTCTGGTACTAGGGAAAAGATGGGACAATGGCCTGAAGTTTTAACAAAGCAACAGCCAGACCCAGCCTGCCAGGACCAGTGACTGGGAGAACTCAAACACGGAGGTTTCTCTGCAGGAGACTTGTACATCAATGGGGCATTCTCCCCCCAGGCCGCAGGAAGAGCCAGAAAAGGGCTCAGGCATGCAAAGCAGGAAGCCTGAGAGTAGGGGATAGCAAAGCAGCATGTGGCATGGCATTTCCAGGAGGATCTGGCTCCCACAACTCAGCCCAGACTTTCCAGAGAAAAAGGCACCATATTTTCTGGTGAGCCTGGCATGCTGGGTTTCCCTGCCTCATCCCCACCTTGACCCCAGTGGTGGGCCCTGGCAAATATGACCCCTGAGAGCATCTGGATTTCACCAAGCACCACAAGCACTTGCTCACTCCCCACTCTGAAATCTCTCAGTCACCAAGGCTCAAAAACCATGCCTATACTCTCAACACCCTTCTGCCCCTCTGCCACCTCCTCTTTGCCTCCTTACCTTTCCAGCTCCAATCACCTTCTCAGCAGCATACACCGCCTGTCCGCAGCGTGAGCATCCGTCAGAGCCACCCACTTTCTGGGCCATCCTGGAAGCGTTGGGATTGTTGGTGGGCTGGTGAGGATGGCCCCTGGGGAATCAGCAGCAAGGACAGAGTTACTTGCCTGGCCTGGCAAGCAGGGAGGAGCAGCAGCAAAGGGATGGGGGTTCCACATTTGAGGAAGATTTTGGTCTTACACTAGGGCTACAAGGCTGGGAAGGGCTCGGGTGTGGGTACAGGGTGGGCCTGAGCACTCGGAAGAGGCTGGCCTCTGAAGGGTTGGGACAGGCAGCTGGAAACATGAGCTACAGACCCAGCCAGGGTCCTAGGGTGGCCATGCTTTGCGCCCTCAGCTCAGCACAGCCAAGGCTGATCGTGGACCTCAGGTGCCACCCCTGCCAGTTAGTGAGAGCTTCTTTATCTCACCAGCGTGCTGGAGAGACTCAATTAATCTGGCAAATGGGCTTCTCCCACCAGAGGGGCTCACAGGGCATCTGGCTCCAAGCAAGTCATTTCTGTCACACAGTGGGCCGCTAGCTGACTGCACAGCTAAGGAAAGAGTTTGCCTTCTGGCGAGCTGCATAAAGGCTCAGTATTGAGCTCCAAGGGGTCTTCACCAGGCAGTCGCATCAAGAGCTGCTGCAAAATACAAGCAGAGCCCCGGAGCAGCTCAGGGCCTGTGCAACTGCAAGGTTTCCTCTACTGTAAATCCAACCTTGCCATACTGTGCCCTAGGAGCTGAACTGGGGCACTGGAAGATCCAAAGCCCCAAAGAACAGGATATGTTTAGCTGAAAGTGCCATTACCTAGAGCAGCAATGTGGTCCCTGCATCTCTACCCTGCTTTCTGTCAAATAAGATAGATCACACACACACACACCCAGAGGTAATATAGCTTATTTTTTATATATACATACACACACACACACACACATATACATACATATATACACACACACATATGTCTTATTTAGTCAGCGTCTCTACCTGCCTTGTGCCAAATAAGATATATCACATATACGTGTGTGTGATGTATCTCATTTAGTCTGCATCTCTACCCCTGACTTCAGACTAACACAGCTATCTAGCTCTACATATATCTTATTTAGTTAGTTAATAAAATGAACATGTACCCTGCCTGATGAAAAGCTAACCTAAACCAGGCTTTGATTGTATTATCCTGGTCACAGAGACCTCCTGTTCACCCTGGAAAGATGACCTAGCCAGGAGACAGGGTGGGGGTCATAGTTTTGTGCAGAATCGGACGCTAGCTCCTGGCTGGTTTCTGTCCTAGAGCTGCCCTTGTTAGAGGCACCGGACAGCATCGCAGTGTGTGAGTGACTCAGCAAGACTCAATCAGATGACCATGGGTAGAAGTCATGGGGGGGAGGCATGTTGCACAGCTGAGAACAGCACCCAGTCTCACAGGCTCCTGAGGCCAAGGGACAGCAGTGCTACATTGCAAAACCAGGATGATGTGGCAGACTCAGGGCTCTCTCGAGAAGAAAATGCTAGTAGTGCTGCACAGCTCTGGGAGCCCCACAACCTGCCACGCTGCCAGGCAGAGGGGGTGGGGGTGCCCCTTCCTGGCTCCCCTGTATAGCCCAGATGCTCCAACTCACTCTTCAGGCTTGATTCCCAGCGACTCGCCCTTGTCGGTGCTCAGGGTCCCGGCTCCTTGCCCGTATCCATAGCCCTTGGGGCCATACTTCTTGCCATAGCAGGACTTGCAGTAGATCTCTTCCCCGTGCACCGCTACAGTGGTGCTGTCCAGGTTCTTTTTACAGACCACTGCAGAGCAACAAGAGGATATCACTGTCAGCCTTCGTCTGGCCTCACACGGGATGGGATAGCTCAGGCTTTGAAAGGGAAGGAAATGCCTACACAAAAGTGTTGCTAAAATGAAGAGCACATAGAGTATCCAGAGAAAAAACCCATACAGGAGCACAGGAATGAACAGGAAAGCAAGCGGCTGGATAGGCCAGGCAACTGCCATTAACCCCGATGCCAGAGCGGATGTCATTTGGGAAACAGGAAGTTTTGAACCTTGAGTAAAGGGAAGAACCAAATCTCTTTACAGGCCTCACAAACAGAGTTAATCTGGGTCACATCCAGCCTGGTGTGTGTGAGGGAAGGGGGGAGAAGTGTGGGAAGGAGGTTTGCATGAGTGCTTAGTGTGATTACATCCAAAGATGAGCAAGAGAGAGAGTCCAGCCCTTGGGCTGATTGCAGCTGGAGCAAATCCTGCCGGTGAAGAGACTGGGAGCATGGAAATAGATAAAACCACTGGCACTGGCTCTGACACCCACGGACCCCTGCTGCTGCCACTGGACCCGCCACAGCTGCCGCTGGCCCTGCAGATCTGGCTGGAGAGGAGCTCCCGGGATCCAGATCCAGCCTGGGGTGAATGCGACACCCCGATGCAATCCAAGAGGAAGCTGCAGGGGTGAGGAGGCAGCTGGGAGAAGCAGGATCAGGGTTGGGGAAGGGCTCAGAGCCTCCAAGAGGAGCTGAGTGTTGTTTACCTACCACCGGCAGGGCTGCGGAGGAGGAAGAGGGGGGAGCAGCTGGCCCAAGCAGCGCCAGTGCAATTGCAACACAGACTGACCCACAGGCGCGCCTTAAATGTCAGCAGAAGGCTGCTCCCGGCAGCCTGATTGTTTCCGTGCCAGAAGGAAAGGTTCTTGCCCTTAAACAACATCCCAAGAATGCAAACAAAGAACAGAGCTCTGGTCCCAGCGCCTCGGCAGGCCAGCACATTGCTGTCCCCATGACTAAATATGGTGCTTTTCCCCCCACGCTGCCAGGACCCCAGAGGAGCTCTGTGCTGGGAGAGGAGGAGAAGGGAAGCTGCACCTTGCCATCTAGGGAGGATTATGTGAGGAATGTCTGTGAGTTGCGAGCCTCCGGTGCAGACCTGAGCGGGACACTGGAGAGGGGCTCACCTAGCACAGGCTGCAGCTCACCCCCACCACCTGGATTCAGCTGGCCCTGCATGGTTTCAGAGCCGTCAGGTTAACCAGGCAGCCTCATGCCTTTGGGCCTGTCTA